GCACCTACCTGGCGTGAACGAAAATGAATCAAGCCCCAGCTCATCAGCAGCCCAACCTTGTCCAGAAAAATCAATACAGGTTTCCCATATTACACAATATGTGATTTCCTGAAAAGTTGGAGATAAATCAATGTTTTCTTCAGTTCAATGTGTATCAAGCATCAGGTGTGAGCTCAGCATTATGCTGAAGCTACAAAGGACACACACACACACACACACACAATCAGCCTTGATTCTTGCTTTCAAGGTTCCTACATTTGTACCAAGCCACATCATAAATGCACTGAAGGTGCTTGCTAATGGCGTCACGTGGTAGATCCTTTTATAAAGCAAAGAACCCTTTTAACATGAGAGAATTCCTTCCTGATTAGCAGCCTTTTTTCTTATATATTTGGATTTTCAGAGTCAAGGTCTTTTTCAGTTCAGTGGCAAGCCTATCATGAACATTTGTTGACTAGATGAACATAGTTCAAAATCCAGGCCAACCCATATCTGATGCTCCATTTGTGTAGGAGTAGATAACTGCAAAAGCACTTTTCACGTCTCTGAACCTATTTGCTTTCCTAAGAACCTCGAGGGGGAGGGAAAGCAGGACTTAATCGTGTCCTTTTCACAGGTAAGACGGCTGAGGCCCGTAAAGAGTAAATGGCTTCTTCAAATCAGTGTCCGAAAAGTCTGATGGAAAGTCAGCCCAGACTGCACCAGCAGCGAGAGCCCCAGCAATGAAGTCAAGATCATTTTAGCTCACTTGTCCCCTTGGCGGACCTGACCTCAGGTCCTGCCAGGAGTACTAGTCCATTCTCCCGGGCATCCAGGCTGGAGGCCCCCAAAGCTTAAGCCCATCTTTCCCCATCACTTCCCTGTGGTTGACCCTCTGCCCTTGAGTCCATTTATTTGGTTGCCACTTACTAAGCCCCTCTTTGTAACAAACACTGGGCAGGGGCCTGGAGATACACAGCTGAATGAGACATGGCCCCTGCCCTCTGTGAACACAGTGAAGTGGAAAGTGACAGAAAGAGGACTCCTGGGAGGACATTTAAATCTAACTTCTGTGCTGGGGAAATCTGAGTGGTGTTTTGAAGGATGAATAGGAGTTCACTAGGTTGGTAGGAGGAGGCGAGGGCATTCCAGTGGAAAGGAACGGCACAGGCAGAAGTGCAGAGTTGTGGATTGGCATGGTGTGTCTAGGGCCCTGCCAGGAGCTGGCATGGGGAGGGTGGAGGTGAGAAGACAAGAACGCTGAGGCCGGGAAGGGAAGTGGCGCAGGAGAGAGGGCCTCCTTTTCCACACTGTGGTGGTTGGATTGTATGTGAAGGTCCCTGCGGGGTTTGAGGCCAGGGCCTGATGTGATCAAGTTCAGATTTTAGACAACGTGCTCTGACAGCTATGTGGGGAATAGATGGAGGAGATAAAGGACACATTTTTGTCTTGTGCACTATCATGTCTCCAGCACCTGGTAGGTGCATGGCAGATGAGGGGCTGTGTGTGCTGAAGGGATGAACGAGGGACCCGGTGAAGAGTTTATGCAGAAACCCAGAAGGTCCTAAACTGAGCTCACGAGAGAGGCACGGACAGACATGAAAACGGTACAGGGTTTGTGTCAGCCAGGAAAACAGAACCCAGGCCAGGAAGTGCAATGGGGGAGAATTGAATGTGGGGAACTCATTACAAAGGTATTGGAAGAGCAGAAACAAAACAGAACAAAACAACGTGGTCCAGGGAGGCAACCAGAATTGGCAACATCAGGAAGCTGCTGCCACCCGAGCTGGAGGGACAAAAGTGGTGTCACTTGACTCCAGGAGCCTGAGTGCCTAGGGTGAGCCAGGACCGGGAAGAGGGAAGGGTGCCATGTCCCAGGAAGATGACTCAGGGGTGGAGATGAGCACGCACAGGGGGAATTAGGGAAGGTTCTGGGAAAGGAAGGGAAGGATTGGGCACAGAGAAAATCAAAGAAGGCCTCGATGACACTGTGCAGGTCTGACGCTGGGACACCCTGCAGAGCTGGCCCAAGTTGGGGCAAGGAGGTCAGACCTTCATAATCCCACCGTCACCAGACACTGGATGTAACCTCCCGGGAAGGGAGTGTGAACACGAACAAGGTAGCTCTTCTCGGTCAAGGCGATTTCCAGAAGTTCTCCAAAGGCACCACAGCAGTTGGGGGGACTAACTCCTTCAGTTCTGGGGGGAATCTCACAGCACATGGCAACAACCATACAAAGGGGCTTTGGCGGGGAGCTGGAGCCACAGAGGAGGTACAGCCGGTGACTGAGGCAGAGAGAAAGGAAAAACTACCCTCTCTTCCTCCCTTGGTCCCATGTCGCTCCAGGGCCTCCCGCTGGCAAACCAGGCTGGAAACCAGTGGGTAAGGGAACATGGGGAATAGTTTGCAAGGGGCAGCCCCAGGGAGAAGGGGAAGGCAGGGATCGCCTCTGGCAGCAAACAGGTCTAAGGCGGACCCAGTGACCCAATGGCTATGGGGGACAGAAAAGAGGAGGGTTCAAGGGGAAACCGCTGTCAGGGATTCTAGTGCCTGACACTAGATCTGGGGGAGTGATGCCTCTCTCTCAGAAGAGACCGTGAAGGCGGTGCACACCTGGAGGTAGATGCTGATGGACCAAACTGAGTTTGCCGTCCAAGTGCAGATGCGAAGCTGGCAGCTCTGTGGGCCCTAAATACTGGCACAAAATAAACTTGAAAGACCGAAAACCTCAGGTGGACACTCCCAGCTATAGGACCAGGTGCAACCTTCCTTCTCAGCATAGCATTAGAACCTTTTACATGTTCCCAAAGATTTTTGCAGGCTCAGCTCCCTGCTCGCCTTGCAGCCAACCCTGCCCCGCCCCACATCCCTCCCTGGTCTAGCCACCCACCATTCTACCTTTCCCTGAGCAACAATCTCACCATCCCATACACCCCCCCAGGTCAAATTCTTTCTAGACTGAGTCCGTCCTAAGGCCTTTTATCCCTACAAATCATAATCTCTCCTTTGAGTCCCCACAAGTGCTTAAGAGCTTCAATGTGCCACTTACTAGCGATTTGACCTCAGCAAGTAACTGTTTTTTTGCAGGCTTCTTCCTCTGCGAAATGAGGCAAAAAAGTAACCCCACAGTGTGGTTGTAACACCCAAGTGAAGTAGTATGTGTAAAGTGCTAAGAACAGTGCCTGACACATTCCGGACCTCAGTTAATGTTAGTTAGCATTATTTTAATTTTGATTCCCCAGCATCTAGCTCTTAGATGCTTAATTAGTGTTTGTTGAATGAAGGGAGCCTTAATATGGAAAAGGATTTATCCTTGGGTCTCGACCTGGTTTTAGAAAATTAAGTATTTAGCAGAAGTGCAGGGCCTCTCTGATAATAGTCGTCTACGTTGGGTGTCCAAGGACTCCAAATTGACCCGGTTCTCTCTTGAAAGAGAGTGACAGTCTACGTTGTTTTTTGTTTTTTTTTTTTTCATGGAGCTTTGTGCAGAGTCTGGCACACATTTCGTGCTCACTCAAACCACATCGCACGAATGCATGCACACGACCTGGCAGGGTTGCCTCTGTGTAGGCAGTATCATTGTCTGTGGCCAGAATGACTTCCACTCCCCTACCCGCCCACCACAGAACCCGGGCTGGCGCCCGCGGGGGCCCCAGACCCTGCTGTGGAGGCTGGAGAGGGGGCAGGAATCCGGCGGCGGCCACGTGGGCCCCTTCCGTCCGCTCCCCACATCCTTTGTTTCCCACCGGCCGCGGCTCAGGAAGCTCTTTCTGCGAGTCACCGCGAAGGGGCGGCCAGGGAGCCTGGAGAAGCTATTTCCGTTCAATCCGGGCGGGTGGCAGGCGCGGGAGGGGCGTGGAGGTGGAGGCAGCGCAGAAGGCCCAGTGTTTGCTTTTAGTTCATCCAACAGAAGGTTCTATTTGTGGAAGCGAACAGACGCTGGGGATTAGAACTGGGAGGGGGCAGGAAAAGGAAAAAAAAAAAAAAAAGCCACATCCACTACCACGCACAGGTCTTCCCCGGAACTACCGCGTGGGGGTGAATGACTGGTTCTGGAATTCATCACCTTTCCTATCCTCCCTTCCTCCCGCTGCACCCAGGCCTCGGCGGCGCCCACGGCTGCCACCGGAGGTTCCTCAGCGCCGGGCGGTGGGGGGGATCCCCGGGGCGAAAGGCATAACGGCGGGACTGCAGCGAGCGGCGGGTGCAGGATCCTTGGTGCACGCGCCCGCAGACTATTGTGTTAGGTGTGAATGGGGAGCACGCACCAATCAGAGGTTGCTTCGCCCCCCGAGGCCCCGCCCCTCCCGCCTACTTCCCCGGACCCTGACGTCACGGGAACTTTTCCTCCACCCCCTCCTCCAGCTTCTGTAAGCTCGGCTCCGGGCCTGCCTGAGGGCGCGCGCCGCCTCCTGCCCAGCCCAGCCCCGGGGACGTGCGCGCGCGCCCAAGCCGGCTCGGGACGCACCACCTGCGCCAGAGCGCGCGCTGCCCAGAGCATCCCCAGCGCTCGGGCCACCCCTAGCGCCCCGCGGACCCAGCTCCACCTCTTCTCCCCCCCAGCCTCCCCCTCCGCTCTGGTGATTGCTCGCTGGCGGCAAGGCCCGAGTCGTCGCAGCCACCTCATTGCACAACCCGGCTTCCCAACTGTTTACACAGCCCGGCCTGTGAGTGTGTGTGTATACCGCGTGAGTCACCGGGAGGCGGAGGAGGTGGAGGAAAAGGAGAAGGAGGAGTGCACTGGCTGGGATCGGTGCGGCGCACACACTCACTCAGTCACTCTCTCCGAGCGCGTCTCGTGCGCGCACACACACGCCGGGAGCTCCGGAGCGCGCAGAATCCCGAGCGCAGCGGCAAAGTTGCTCCGGCTTTCGCTCCGGACTTCTTGCTTTGGGAAGTGCATTTGACCTGCCTCCTGTCGAGCCTTCGGAATCCTGTCCTCGCGGCTCAGGACCCCGGGAACACCGGCCACCGCCGCCGCTTCTGCCTTGGAGACTGTCGACCGCCTCGACAACAATAGCGGCGGCCGACCCCGGGGAGGCGCCCCGAGCCGGTGCCTGCGGGGAGCTGGGGACCCGAGCCGGCCTCCGCCCCCCGGACACGCAGCCAGCGTGGTTCCCGCGTGCAACTGAAGCTCCCGGGAGCGGCTCTTGCTTTGCCCCCCGTGGGAGGCGAACCCAGCTCCGTCTTAAACTCCATCTCGTGGGCTGGAATAAGTCGCGGCGCCGGCGCCGAGCCCTCAACGCCTTCCTGCGCGGATCCCGGGACGTACAAAGCCGGGACCGTCCCGTCCCGGGACGGGATGCGGGTCGGTCCCGTGCGCTCTGCCATGAGCAGCGCCTCGCAGCCCCGCGGCCCGACCTTGCTGCTCCCGGCCGCCCGCGGCGGCCCGGCCAAACGCTTACTGGACGCGGACGACGCGGCGGCGGTGGCGGCCAAGTGCCCGCGCCTCTCTGAGTGCTCCAGCCCACCAGACTACCTCAGCCCCCCTGGCTCTCCCTGCAGTCCGCAGCCTTCTCCCGCCGCGCCGGGTTCGGGCGGCGGCTCCGGGAGCGCGCCGGGGCCCAGCCGTCTCGCCGACTACCTGCTGCTGCCCCTGGCCGAGCGCGAGCATGTGTCCCGGGCGCTGTGCATCCACACGGGCCGCGAGCTGCGCTGCAAGGTACGAGCTCGGGGGTTGGAGAATGTGGGGTGCGGGGGGCGGAGCTCGGTGGCGGGCAGTGGTGCTCGGGGTCTCGCCTGCCGGCTCCCGGGGGATCGAAGGTGCCACCAAAGCTTGAGTTTGGGGTCAGGCTTATAAGTGACTTGAGCCCGGTGAGGCAGCGTTTGACCAGGTCCACCCCTTTGGGCATTGAGGGGTTTCCGATGGACTGGTATAATGGGGGCTCGGTGATGAAGAGAAAGTGCAGCGTTCAATTGCTTTATCGCCATAGTATTTTCTTAGTGCCGAGTGCAGCGGGTGGCGTTCCATATAAGTTATGGAATTGAAATGGATTCCAGGGCCATGCCATTCCCCTTCTCTCATTCCCGCTCCCCCGCCCCTGGCCCTGGAAGGACGCCCTGCAGTGGGTGCCTCCTTGGAGCTTGGAGCAGCCGGCAGCTCCCTTGCCCGGGTTTCAAGGCACTTGGGCTCAGCTGTGCGCGTCGGGCTTGGGTCTTGGAGATTCCAGCTCGAACCCGCGCTGGGACGAGAACCCCGTTCTCCCTAGAGAGCAGGCTGAGGGGATGTTCCAGCCAGGGCGGGGGAATTTGCCTGGAGTAGAAATGCTGGAAAGCCCACACCGGCTAGGAATCCTCGCTTCCATTCATGTCTTTATTTTCCGGCCAGCGATTTTTTTCCCCCCTGAACATAAGGGATTCCATCCAGGAGGAGATAATCACTTCTGGAAACCGGATCCTCCGCGTGCTCCGACAGCGCCCATAGACCATTCCCACAGTCCACCCCTGGCGAACCTCACACCCCCGTCTCAGACATCCCCGAGAGCCCGCCGGGCTTCTCCTTTTCACCCGGAGGATTGGGTCACCCCTGTTAAAGTCGCTCTTGGGTTTTCAGCAACTCACCTGACCCACCCCTCTCACCTCCCCGGGCTTGCTGCTGCCACCTACTGTCCGACTTCAGCGAAATGTCCTGATCAAGCCCAGTTAGAAAGGCGGCGGCGGTGGGGGTGGGGGTCTTTTCGTCTAGGGGGCTGCGGGGCTGAGAGCTGTTTTGGGAAGAGTGTGTGTGTGCGATGGGGTTGGGTGGAGCGGAGCGGGAGGAAGGAGGCAGCAGCGAGATTTTTCTAGCTGGTGCCTGAGCAGCCGGGCCTCGGAGGTGGGGTGGGTCTGCCGTTGTGCAACCCCTTCCAGTTCCTCTGAGCAGATAATAGCTGGATCCAGATGGTGACAACCCGTGTGTCACCGTTTCCAGTTGAGTCCTAGGATATGAGTAACTGGGCCAAACAAAAGGTTCTTAAAGAGACCAGCCAGCTTTTTGGCAGAGATACTATTCATTTCCTGGGTGCAGGTGGAGGTGGGAGTGGGGGGAGGGGAGATAAACAAATGAAGAAACTGTGGTGAGGATCCCATAGCCCGCCTGTGAGAATGCTCACTCGCAGCTGCTTATGCCTGAGCCAGACTGTAGGCAGGTTGCTTAAGGCTGCGTTGTCACAGTCTTCTCTCTCCGAGTCATCTGTTCCTTCTGACTAATGACAGATCTGCCCGTTCTCCAGTCCCTGCCTCCACTTGGAGGCTGCAGTCACCACAGTCAGTGCTCTGAGTGCTGAGCACTTTGGGCCTGCTTTGCAGCTCCTGGGGGGGGGGGTGGGGGGTTGGTGCAGCATTGACTGCCAACACGGAAGGGCCATGGAAGGTGGGGATTTGGGGGCTTAGCTCCCTGGAGCTGATGGCCTCCTGGAAGGTGGGAACATACACAGAAGATAGTTCTCTCTAACCTTTCATATGGTGACATGTAGGATATCCGCTAGCCCAGAGCCCTGGATATTGCTGGTTTGGGGTGTTAGGGGTAGCTGGGGTTGCATACGGTGGGGCAGCAGAGATGGGGGGGCAAGTGGATGGACCCTACTGTCAACCAAAGCCCAAAGCTTGAGAACTGCAGCCCAGCCTGGGATTTTGGAGGTGGTCTCTGGTTTTTCTGCCTCTTAAGTGGGTCACCTTCTCTCTGCAGGTGTTTCCCATTAAACACTACCAGGACAAGATCAGGCCTTACATCCAGCTACCATCACACAGAAACATCACCGGCATCGTGGAAGTGATCCTTGGGGAAACCAAGGCCTATGTCTTCTTTGAGAAGGACTTTGGGGACATGCACTCCTACGTGCGAAGCCGGAAGAGGCTGCGGGAAGAGGAGGCTTCCCGGCTCTTCAAGCAGATTGTCTCTGCCGTTGCCCACTGTCACCAGTCGGCCATCGTGCTGGGGGACCTGAAGCTTAGGAAATTTGTCTTCTCCACGGAGGAGAGGTGAGCAGCGTCCACAGCCCCTCCTGCCTTCTGGAACCAAAATGAAATTGCAGGTTGAGCAGTTAGGTTCAGCGTGTTGGTTCAAAACCACACCAAGGGCTCAGCTGTGCCAGTTAGTTTTCAGAAGTCCTCTCCCAAGGAGCCATGGCCAAGGTTGGCTTCTTCTGCACTCTTGTGGCTGAGGCTTGGGGACACCTTGGTGCTTTTGTGGGATGTCCTGTGATGACAGGAAGCCCTCCCCACTCCCACCCCAGGACCAGGTTTATTCCCCATTGTCAGAAAGGTCAATTCTCCTGGGGTGCAAATGTCAACCTGCCCTTTACAACCTTGACTCCTAGAGGAAGTTTTCAAGTCCTTGTTCTCACCAAGTGGGTTTCTTTGTACCTAGAGTGTATCACAGAGCTAGTATTTGCAGAATTCTGCCCTCCTCCACACCACATTCCTGTTCCGTCTCGGGCTTGGCCCCTAGTATTTTCTTCACATTCTCCGGTGACTTTTTGGACATCTTATTTGGCTGTGTGTTCAGAAAATAGCTGTACTGAATAATAAATGGAGTTGGCTGGAATCAGTTGCTAAATATAGATCATAGCTTACTTCATAAAGGACATGATGCGCTTGATAAGAGAATAATGAGACCTTAAGATTCAGAATTGAGGTTTCAGACAAGAGAATTCAGGAAGCCACAGGAGATAAACCTTACCTGATTTCAAGAGGTGGGCCACATCCCTTGTGGAAAGATTGCTAGCAATACTGTAGCAGAATTGGGGAGGCAGCTGTGTGTTACTTGGTTGTAGCTATTCATGCAAGGCTGACCCCATCTGTGCTTTGTCACCCTTAACTCCAAACCCTCTGAAAAAGCACCGGGTTGAGTTACCAGAAAGCATGGCTTTGTATCTGACTTTGCAATAATTATTGGAACATACTGATTAGCAAAGAAAAGCAGAGTGTTTGCAATGGAGAAGTTTCCAATTCCTGGCACATGCTCCTTTGACATGGTGATGTATTTTCTGAAACATGCCTTCCACACCTCCTTACTAGCTTTTGAAATCCGCATTGCACAGGCGAGTGTCATATGCATGGAGTTTGGCAACCTGAGGGTTAAGCAATGGCAGGCTGACGCTAGCGTGTAACCAGCACAGGTGCAGGGTTTTAGTGCAAAAGCAGCCAATCAGGGGCAGACAGTGCGGGTTGAGTCATATTTTCCGTTTACAGAACCAATGGGTATTTTACATAACGACGGGGAGGTCAGGCTGAGGACATACCGAAGTTAGCACACGCATACTACACTCCAGGGAACAGGAAGGCAGGAAGATAAAAAAAAAATGAAACCAGCAAGACCTTTGAGAGGAAAAGGAATTGACCCATTAGCCAGTACCAAATGTTTGCATTAACTTCACAACAAGTGATTTACTGCAACAGGGTGATTTCTGAGAAGCAGAGAGGAGCACAGGCCACCACCACCAGACAGCAGAGGTTCCCACTTGGGCCCAAGAGACCTGGGTGGCTGGATCTGGACCAGGAGGCCCCTGCAGCTTCCTAAGAGAGCCTTGGACTAAAGATTTTCAGACTTTAGCTGTTACCTGAACAGATAAGCCCGCATGCAGAGTACATATGCCCAAGCATTGCTGTACCATGTATGTAGGTGTTTGGGGGCACCTGCAGCCTTCAAATGCCCCAGCTGCTTTTGTTTGCTCACATACCCTCTCGGTCCAGGCTAAGCGTTCTTTGCAGTGAAACACCTCAATATAATGGACCTTCCTTGCACCTTTCCCATCACAGTGGTCAGGTCTGGGCCCCGGTGGTCAGAGTTCCCTCTGTGTGTATACATCAACATTAGTAGGAGTGTTGACAACCTGTGGGTAATCACAGTGACTCTGGGCTCCGTGTTCTGTAATGCAAAGCATGGGTCCAGCAGTCCTGGCCGTCAGTGGTGTGATAAGGACATGCTTGCAGGATGCTTGGGCCCTCCCTGGAGAATAGAATATACTGCTCTTCTCCAGTAGCTTTTGTAGAAAAGGTCAGCATTCCCTGGAGACCAGCTCCCACTTCTGCATCGTGCACTAAGTTGTGTAAGCCCTACGAGGAGATGTCTTCTTAGCTCTAGCATCATGAGTAGTATTCGGGGCTTTGTATCCTATGCTTCATCCTAGGTGCTCTCTCCAGACTTTGCAGATGTTTATTGCAGTTTGTATTGGTTTGTGAAATCCTGGGTCCTGGTGATTGCAGGACACTGCTTACTGGATGAAGGGGTAAATGGCATTCGTGGGGCCTTGGCCATGAGGGCCTGTGGGCGCTGTCATTGGGGAGGCTTTGTTTGTCATAGCAGCTGATCTGGAAGTAAAGGCTTGTTCTCTCTCCTGCAGAACCCAGCTCAGACTGGAAAGTCTGGAAGATACCCACATAATCAAGGGGGAAGATGACGCTCTGTCAGACAAGCACGGCTGCCCAGCCTACGTGAGCCCCGAGATTCTGAACACCACCGGGACCTACTCCGGGAAGGCGGCGGACGTTTGGAGCCTTGGGGTGATGCTCTACACCCTTTTGGTGGGGCGATACCCCTTCCATGACTCAGACCCCAGTGCCCTTTTCTCCAAAATCCGCCGTGGACAGTTCTGCATTCCTGACCACATTTCCCCCAAAGCCAGGTGCCTCATTCGCAGCCTCCTGAGGCGGGAGCCTTCGGAGAGACTCACTGCCCCTGAGATCCTACTCCATCCCTGGTTCGATTCTGTCTTGGAACCTGGGTACGTCGACTCAGAAATGGGAACTTCAGACCAGATTGTCCCAGAGTACCAGGAGGACAGTGATGTTAGTTCCTTCTTCTGCTAATCCCCAAAACCTCAGAAACCTCATAATTCTCACACATGGCATTTCCATTTCCAAAGATGGACAGGCCTCTCGACGTGGTGCCAACCAGATACGTGATGGCGCAAAGACGGTAGCTGCTGAGCTGAACACGGCGCCCCTCTGACTGGCTGTGATGAGTGACTTGGTTGGTGTGAGCAGCGCGCACTCTGATTGGCTGCCCTACAGAGCTGTTTCCCTTCCTAAGGAGCCCCCTCCAACTGTCCCTCTGTCAGACCGGGGGTCCGCATCTTTGATAGGTGGCAAAGAGTACGGATGTCCTACAGCGTGTGCTCAGTGACTTGAACATTTTCTCAAGGGAGAGGAAGTGGATCACACATGGCATTTGGGGTAATAGCCTATTTTAACAGGGTGACAAGTAATTCGGGCCAATGCACCTGCCGTCTTTGAACTTGTCTTTGGTAGCTGGACTTCGCGATCCCAGCTTCTCTGATGGGAGAGTTCGCTTTCGTGTTGGTTGGGTTCACCACTCACCCTTCACACACGTTTAGCAATGACTCTGCTCCGTTTGGGGGGCAGACTGTGTTAGGAGCATAGGAGCCTGCCTGCACCGCGAACCCAGACTCTCTCCTGTTTCCTGCCGAGACCTCATGTGCACTAATGCCTTCTTCCTGACCTTGAAACGTCTCCCCTTCACTGTAAAAGCACTTACCAGCCAACGGTGGAGAAGTGTCACAAACCATTCGAACTCCTGGCTATTTCAGAACTCTGAGCTCAGACAGAGACGGCGGATTTTCAAAGATAATTCGAGCAGTTGGAAACTGTTAGCTTTTTTGGTTCCTCTCAAATATGTTCGCATCTATCTTTTACTTTCCCCTCCCCAAGACCATCTCAGGGTGGAGTGTTTTGTCTAAGAAGAGAAAGATAGAGTCTCTCCACTCCCCTCTCACAAGAACAAAGGTTAAACCAGAGAAGGTGAATTTTGGATGGGTCTCAGACCAAGTTCCAGAATTATACTTTAACCCTCCCCGCCCCGATGGACATGGTCTGCCCTTGGCATTGTGTGTGTGTGTCTGCAGTTTTGCATGATGGGTTGTTAATATTTCAAATGTGGTGTGGTCTATGAATACATCTGTGTACTCAGCATCTGGAGGAAATAGCAAACCCCAAATCTTTAAAGTCAGAAGGGACTTCAAAAGTCATCTAGTCCAGCTTCTTTTCTCTTTCTGCCACCTTCCAATGCAGAAATCCCCCTTCAGCTTCTTTTACCACTGGGAATCCAGTCTCTGTTTGAATGCTTCCGGAAATAGGAACTCACTCCCTACGAAAGATAGAGCTTAACAGAGAAACTGCAACTTGCATTATAAACCAAGTACAGAAGAAATACCAGTCAGTGTCTGGACAGGAGTGAAATTAGGTGGTTAAACGGGTAAACTAAACATACTGTATTTTGAGAAATGACACAGAAACAGGCAGTCATGTTTAAGGGCTACGCCTAGGCAAACTACTAACGTGCATTGTTGAGAATGCCGTGTATACCTCATGTACTGTGTACTTTGTACATACATTTTACCTTTTCTACATATGTTCGATATTGTTTTGTTGTTTTGGCTCTGAGGCTTGTTTTGTTGTCTGTGTCTGTCTGAATAACCTGCGTGTCTCAAACCACGTGAAATGTGAATGATTATTGGCAATATTACCTTGACAGAATCATGGGACTCGGAGAAGAGAGAGGACAGAGGTCTCTGTCGTGGTTGCTCGACTGTTGTATCTGTGATACAGTACCCGGCTGAGGACTCCGGCCGGGAAAGCTAGGAACACTAGATCCTTCCTGTATATGTGTATATATGTGAACAGTGAGACGGCTGTTTTTGACTTGTAGAGAAATTTTAATAAATCCGTTTTCGTAAATAGGCGCTGTGAATTTCTTTTGAGTCCAGTCTGCCTTTGCCTTGTCCAGTATCACGCAGGGGGTGGTGGGGGTGCCAAGGTCTGGCCGCTGGGCTTGGAATCTCCTGGGAGAAACAAGCAAACAGATGATGCTTATTATATATATATGACTTTTGACAGAACCCATTCACTTTTCCACTGCAGTGGGCAAATTCATTGTGACGGGTGAAGCCAATTTGGTGGAATGAATCAGGTTGGCGAGCACTGTGGGTTGAATTAGTCTCGAGAAGCATTTGATGAGGAACATACATAAATAAGCCTTGAGCTGTAAGAATCTCTTTGGCTTTTGGTCCCTTTTAGGTCAGAGACCCTTGAAAATTTGATGAAAGCTATAGATACTTCTCAGAAAAATGTATGTATATGTACCCGACTGAATTTTGCTATAATTTCAGACGTCCACACATATCTGAAGGCATCCCAGGCTTCCTACTGAGAACTACCTTCTCTCCACCCGCTAGACTTAATTAAAATGGCCAATTGAAGTGTGTCTTTTTTTTTTCAGTAAGTGTAAAAATGGAAGTAAGGAACTAAAGATACTTGAATCACAAAAGTAGAGAAAGAAAGGATTTTGATTTCATTAGGTGTATAGCTTCACTATTAAATCAGAGTCTATTCTAAATAAAGTCAATTAGCATCTAGAGGGCTTAAAAAAACACCTCTGTGTTGTAAATTGTAACAAATATACAGAAAAAATGCACAGATAAGTGATGGCTCTGAAGTTTCACAAACTGAACTGGCCTAATGAGCAGCCAGCTCAAGGAAACGAAACAGCCAGGAGCCCCTCTGCCCCTTTCAGTCGCTGTCTGACACCCCCCCCAAGAGTTTTCACTCTTACGTTCTAACTGTGAAAACTGGAATAAGGGCTAAGTCATCAACTCCAGGCTTAAATGAAGAGGCTTGCAGAAGTTCCCGATCACACACTGACCTTTTCTAGGGCTCAGGCTGAGGTCAGCCAGGAAAGCGGACCTATGACCCCGATGCAAGGGCAGCCCGGGCTCTGTGACTCAGGAACTTAAGAAAAGAGATGGAAAAGGCGCATCAGGAGGAGGTGGGAAATGAGCAAATGCCTGGTAAGCTTAGAAACGAAGAAGCTGGGGTGGGTCTAGGGCAGCGATTTTCAACCTTCTACATCTCATGGCACGCATAAGCTAATTATTAAAATTCTGCGGCACACCAAAGAATATATTTTTACTGATCTGACAAAAAAAAAAAAAAAAAAAAAAAAGGTATAATTTTGATTCATTCATCCCGGTCAGCTATTGTGTTGGCTGTTGTCATTTTTTTATTTGAAAATCTAAAGGAAAAGAGGTCAGTGCCCCTGAATAAATAGTCAGGTATTGCACGTTTTAAAAATTCTTGCAGCTCACCCATGTGTGGCTGAACATCTCTGGTCTAGGGCCATCCCGAGAATAGGACCCTTAAACCCCAAAGTGCCTGGGGCAGGCCTCAACCTCAGAGCATACATCACAGCATCTCCTTGATCCAAGGAACCCAGATGAGATTCATAACTCCTTGGGCAAACAGCTAATACGACTAATACTTTGGACTTCACCGAGTTTTTTAATCTAAGGGTTTCAAAATACTTTGCAAGCAATTAAGGTTACAACACCTCTTCATCCTGTTGTTGCCTAATGGAGAGAGATATGGGTCAGGATTGGCTGGAATGACATGTGAGGCCACAAATCCATAGATTTAATCTCGAAGAACAAATCTGGGGCAGCCACAACCACTTACATTTGGAAGGTTGGAAGGAACATGTTGGGCATTGGCTAAAAAGCGGATCCTTTTATTTTCCCTGGTGTGCTCAGTAGAGTCAACCATGCAAATACTATCCAAGCTTTTATTCATTTTGTGCTTTCTAGAAGTTTCCCTCCCTCTTCCCCTCACCCTCACCACGGTTGAGTGAATCAGGCAAGTCAAATGTTATTTGTTCCATTTCATAGATGAGAAAACGGAGGCTCAAGTGCTTTTCAGGAGCCACTCAGAAATAAACAGCTCAGAGCTGGGACGTGAACTTGGGTCTTTGGACTCCTTGCCCAATGTTGTTTCTGTCTCTGCACAGCACCACGTCGACTCTCCTGGTAAGATTGGTGACTGGAGGGCGGGGCTGGGGCGGAGCTGGAGGGGGCGGGGCTGGGGGCGGGGCTGGAGGGGGCGGAGCTGAAGGGGGGGCGAGCAGTCTGAATGCCAGAATGGATAACAGATTTGCTATAGCATTTTTAAAATTTTTTTATTCATTTAAAAAATGTTTCTATTGATTGATTTGAGAGAGAGAGAGAGAAACATAGCTTTGTGGTTCTACTCACTTATGCCCTCACTGGTCGCTTCTTGTACGTGCTCTGACCGGGGATCGAACCGCATCCACGGGGCATCAGGAGGATGCTCTCACCAGAGCTGCTGGCCAGGGCGTGCTGCAGCGTTTGCATTGCTTGGGCACTTAGCCTCATTCCCACCATCTACATCACGGCAGCCTCAGTGGGCATTCACTTCTGGTCTGAATATCAAAGTCCAGTTCAAGAAAAGTCCAGTGCTTTGAACAAAAAGCATCTGGAACGACTTTGCTAGTGAGGAGGCAGAGGGAAGGACTTCTAATGACGCCCCTTTTCGATACAATGGCACCGTGGGATTGGGAACCGTGTGTTCCCCACCCTCAAACGCATATCGGAATAGGCAACAGGGGACAGAATCATTTGATGTGGTCACAAGATGCACGAGTTTCATGCTGAATGAGCAGTTCTTGGAGAAATCTGTCGACCCTGGAAACCCCAATAGTGGGATCGATCTGCTTCGGACTTATCTTTGGCAATGCCAGTTCCTTTTACCTTTTGTTAGTCTGGGTTCGCTGTGCTGGGGGCTCTGTTGGGACTCGGTGCTGTATCTGCCCACGCGGGTACCCCACCCTGCCCCAGGCGTCCTCCACCTGCAGGTCTGTGCACACTGGGCTCAGTGAGTTGCTAATCGAACTACGCACCAGAAACCAGAGCGGCCTGAGAGTGGGCCTGAGTGTGGGTGGTCCTGTCCCGGCTCAGCTGGCTCACACTGCAGGCGGCTCTCCTCGGCTGGGCAGCGCCCACCGCCCGCAAGGAGCCCGCCCCAGTGAAGGCCTGGCTGGGGCAGGGGAGGGATGCTCCATGCTTACCGTGGCCATTTTTATTCTTTAAGAGTAGTGTTTTCCCTTGTCTCTACCCCCCAGTTGTTTTCTTTTTCTTTCTTTCTTTCTTTTTTTTTTTGCAGACATATCATTTTATCTTAAAAATCCACTTTACTAGTCACACAGCTGATTTTTAATATCACTAACATTTATATATATTACTCTGACTGGTTCTATATTTCAAACAAACAAATCCAGGGTCAGAGTTTGGACATAAAGAGATGGGTAGAGCCGGTTTGGCTCAGCAGTTAGAGCATCAGCCTGCAGACCAAAGGTTCACGGGTTTGATTCCGGTCAAGGGCATGTGCCTCGGCTGCCGTTGGATCTTGGCCCTGGTCTGGGTTGTGCAGGAGGCAACCAATCAGTGTGTCTCTCACATCAATGTTTCTCTCCGCTCCCCACCCCCCAACTCTATCTGAAAATCAATGGGAAAAAATATCCTCGGGTGAGGATTAAAAGAAAAGAAATGGGAAGGTACTTGGCACAAAGGTGAGATGTAACTGATAGTGGAGAATTGATCCAGAGCAAGTTCTGCTGATGTCTGATAGACTTTTCAGCAAAGGAATTGTATTCACTCACCCGGAAATTTTATTGTCATTGGGAAACCTTATCATTGTCAAAACTTAGGTTCACTTTGCTATTGGAGAAAGCCAGTCAGCCAGAGGTATTTGTGCTATTTTAAGCTACAGCCCTGGCTGGTTTGGCTCAGCAGTTAGAGCGTCGGCCTGTGGTCCAGAGAGACCCGGGTTCGGTTCCTGCTAAGGGCATGTACCTCGGTTGCAGTTTGTCCCCGGCCCTGGTTGGTCGTGAGGGTGGCAGCCACTCGATGTGTCCCCTTCACATCCATGTTTCTCTCTCTTTCTTTCTGTTCCTCTCTCTCCTTCCCACTCTACCTGAACAAAAAATGGAAAAAATGTCCTCAGGTGAGAATTAAAAAAAAAAGACTTAAGCTACATAAAATAGGAAAAATTGTCTAAGATCCTTTACCCTAAATATTGACATATGACTTCACTGTGATGAAATATGGCAACTGTTTATCTATACTGCGTCTGTCTACAAGAGAGGAAGTGAAAAGTATAGTATTTACTAGAAATTTTAACTTTGTAACTGCAGGAATTCCAATTCAGCCAGACAAGAAGACCAACCTTATTTTACCTGAAAAAAAAAAAAAAAAGAAAAGAAAGAAAGAAAGAAAGAAAAGAAATAAAAAAATTAAAAACAAACAAACAAAATAACTCTCCTTAATATGTCAGTAGGATTTTCAGTACAATCAAACCACTTTGGATTTTTTGTTCTTTCCCCATTAACACACCAGGCTTATTAAAACAGTGCCTTCTTTTCAATACTACATCAGGATCACAGAATAAAATTCTGTGATAACTGCTATCTCTTTATTTCAGCTAAGTACCATAAAGCGTGTTCCACTGTAAAGACCTCTGGAGTTAGGAGAACTACCACACCGGGCTGGTTGTTGACTTCCCAGTATGGTCTTTATTTCTTGTGGTGAAATGGGGTGCCTACCTTGTTCCTTCCTGGTGTGTGTCACATGATTTAACGTCTTCTAATTCAGTTTTTAAAATATGTCTGTAAACATTAACCTTTAAAAAAACATATTAATTTCATCACAGTAGCACTTGGCAGATTTTTAAAAATGTAACTTTGTAATTTCTTACAATATCCTAAATCTGTCTTTTATAAAAAATAAAATAAATGAGAAAAAGAAGATTGAGGATTGGAGAAGGTGGTTCAAGACAAATACCGAGACTTTAGCCCTGTTAACGTCTTCAAAACAAC